AGAAATATCCTACATATAGAGTATCATATTTATAACGAAATGAAATCTAACATGAGATGAAAGATTTATAACATGATTCTTAGTTTAGGTTATAATATTTTTATGAGTTTATTTGTAGTTATATATGATTTTTAATTTATGCAAGGGGGGAAGGGCAAAATAAAAAAAAAAGATTGGGCTTCTATTTGATGGACTCGTGATGAGTTGGGTTGAAACCCACTTAAGGAAATATAAAGCCCAATATTTAAAACCCACTAAATTAAAAATCAAGAGACAAAAGAATAGTAAATGTTATTTAGCTCTTAAATAAGTCTTTATTTCATTTAAAAGAGGAAAAAAAAAGTTATTTTGGAGGATGTTGAGATTTGTTTTCATTGTTATAACTTATAACTATAATAAAGTTTTAAAACTAAATAATAAACAACTGAATTAATGATTTTTATTTTTATACGAAACAAAAAACGTGTTCATCGGACACTTTACGACAATTTTTTTCATATATTAAATACAAAAACCTCACCTTCTTTATTTTTACATGATCATAGCTTTAAATTTATTTAATTTTACATCTTATTTCTATGGTTGGTTTTATGAATCATTTTAGATTAGGTTATTCGTACTTTTGTCCTTAAGGTTTGGTGTATATTGCCTATCTCCAGTACTATGAGATATGAACAACTTAAAGAGACTTTTTATAAAACTTTTATTATCTTATTCACATGTTATTAGAAATTAATAAAATAAAAAAATAAAAATAAAAAGTTAGATGTTTTAAATTTTTTATATTGTTCACTTGAGTTTTAACTTTGACATATTTTTGCATTTATAATTGTGATGAGTGATTATCAAATGACTTTTGATCGTTTCATGATTGTGAAATCAAACACGTTTTATAATGTTCTAAAAATGGTCCATATTATGTTTAGATATCAACCATTACTCCTAAGAAAATTTGACATTTTTTTAGAGGTACTTTGTATACTTTAACTTTTTTATATTTTATTCATTTCTAGTAATATGTAATAAGACAGCAGGAGTACTATACACTTTTTATTGAAAAGTTTCTCCTGATAGGACTAAATTGTTTGGACTAAACCTTAAGGACGAAAATGTAAATAACCTTATTGGATATTTGGACTAGTAACGTTACAAATTCAAATAAAAGGTGTTACACAATTTGGTATATTATATTAACGAAAAGAAAGACCACCTTAAAGATTATTGTGAATGTTTAAAAAATATGTTTGGTTGGTTCGAATAAATTGGTGAATAATATGTTAATTGAGAGGATAAATGAGTGTGTATGTTATATAGATTACTAAATTACTCTCATTTTTAAATATTATTATAATAATAATTTTTTTTTTAATATTTTTTTAACCCCTACATTGGAAATTTTGCTAAAACACTCAAGCCATATAAAACTTTAATTTATAGCAAAATCACCCCCACCCACCCCCAACCATTGCCGGCAGCCAACCACCACCGACAGTCGATGGAATGATGCACAATTGGCCGCATATGGTTGGCCGTGCACCGACAAAGCTGGAAATGGCCATGGATCACAAATCCATGGCGTGAAACGACCACTAATTTGGCCGTGAGAAGGCTAGATCTTTGGCTGTGCCATTTCACGGCCAGATCTATGGCTGTTTCACGGCCAAAGAAACGCCAAATCTAGTTGTTTTCGGCCATGGATTTGTGATCTATAATCAGAAAAGGCCTTACCAGCGCACGACCAGCCAGATCTCGTCGATTGTACACCATTACGATGATTGACGCCGGCACCTGCGGTGATGAGTCACGGCCGGCAGTGGTCTTGGGTGGCTAAGGGTAATTTGTTAACTTTTAAACTTTTTTATGACTGAGGCGTTTTAGCTAATTTCTCAAATGCAGGGGGCTGGGTAACTATCATTTGGTAGACATTTGAGGGCAACTGTGTCCGAAACGGTTTTTAATTAAGGGCAAAATGGATAGAAAAATCAGATTACCCCGGTAATGTTTTAATAACACCCCCTAACAAGGTAATAAAATTACCCTCTATATTACCAACAGTAAACACCATTTGTAATAAAAGATTACTGTAATATTTTATTACTTGCAAACTAAACACAATAATCTTAGGAGTGGACAAAATTATCCATAACCTGAACCGAATATGGTAACCGAACCGAACAGATTTTTCGGGTACCCGAAAAATCGAGTCAGATTCCGGTAGTATTTAAGTAGGTACTCGGTTTTTTAGTTCGGGTACCGGGTTATATTTAAAATATAATCCGGGTACCCGAAACCCTATTTTTTTTTTTTAAAAGTAAAATCCCAAATCAATTTGCCCTAAACCCAAATAACTTTTTTCTTCATTTTTCCCTTTCTCCCTTTCTCTACATTTCTCCATTTAGCTTGAATCAGTTCTGTTCTTTCCAATCTCCATTGATTTTGCTTGCATCAGTTCTTTATTTCTCCATTTCTCTCTACCGATTTCTTCATTTCTCCAATTCACATTGTCTGTGTTGGGCTCTTTTTATTGTGAAAAAATATTTCTATATTTTTTTGCTCAGTTGATTCACTAACTTTACAATGTTTTTGTCTTTTTGATGGTTTTGGTAGAGAAATTTTTGTTTGGAAGCAATATTGCAAGGAATTCGGGTTTTACATTCGAGTCCTGGTAACCAAACCAAAATTTCGGGTACCCACATATTTAGGTATTGCATAAATCGGTTCAGTTACCGGGTACTATTTTACACTATCCGAATATTCAGTCGAGTAGTAAGGGCACATTGAGGTTGGGTACCCGGTTTTGTTCTCCCCTAAGGAATCTTGCAAAATAAACAAAGATTACTCCCGCTATCTTATTTACCCCTTATCTAAACGGCCCCATAGGGGACGTTTGGATCATATAATATTTTATTATAGGAGTATATTATATTAACAGAAAGAAAGATAACCTTGAAGATTATTGGGAATATTTAAAAAATGTGTTTGGTTGGTTCGAATAAATTGGTAAATAAGATGTTTGGTTAGGATGATAAACGGATAGGTATGTTATACAAATTACTAAATTGCTCTCATTTTCAAATATTAATATAATAGTATTTTTTATTATTATTTTTTGAATCATTCTTTTAACCTCTTACATTTGAAATTTTGCTAAAACACCCCAACAATATAAAACTTTAATTTATAGTAAAATCACCCCCACCCACCCAAGCCACTGTCGGTAGCCAGCGACCACCGCCAGCCACCGTCGATAATCGACGAAATGGCGCACGACTGGTCATATATGGCCGACCGTGCATTGGTAAAGCCAAAAATGGCCATGAATCACAAATCCATGGCCGAAAAATAGCCAGATCTATGGTCATTTCACGACCATAGGAACGCTAGATCTGGTCATTGATCCATGATCGGAAAAGGCCTTACTAGCATACAATTGGTCAGATCCTTCCGGTCATGCACCATTACGGTGACTGACACAGGTGGTCGGCAGTAGTGAGTCATGGCCGCCGGTGGTCTTAGGTGGCTAGGGATATTTGTTAACTTTTAAACTTTTTTGTGGCTATGGTGTTTTAGTTAATTTCTCAAATGTAGGGAGGTTGGATAATTGTTATTTGCTAGACATTTGAGGGCAATTGTGTCCGAAATAGTTTTTAATTAAGGGCAAAATGGGTAGAAAAATCATATTACTCTTGTAATGTTTTAATAACACCATCTGACAAGGTAATAAGATTACCCCCCATATTACCAACAGTAAGCACTATTTGCAATAAAAGATTACTGTAATATTTTATTACTTGCAAACCAAACACCTAAATTTTACAAAATAAACGAAGATTACCCCCATAATAATATTAGCTCCGTTTGATACACTCTTCCAAATATTATTCTTGGTTTTCCCAATAAAGTTAAACCGTAAAATTGATTTATTCTCAAAATATTATTTTATATTATTCAATTTCTTTTAAACCCCCATAAATTAGTTAATTTAACTAAACACCCCTAATTCTTTTTAAAAAAAATGCAAAAACACCCCAGCAACCCACATTATACTAGATTATGGCCACCACTGCCGAAATCTGGTATAATGATACACTACCGGCTGAATCTGGTCGGTAGTGCGCCGGAAAAGGCTAGATCTATGGCCAGATCTTTGGTTGCAGATAGTCATCAACGACGGCCATGTCTTTGTCCGTCATTGACGACCAAATGCGACCAGATCTAGACGTAGATCTGGCATTTTTCGGTAGATCTGGTCGAAAAAGACCATATCGATGCATGACCGGCAAGATCCAACCAGTTATGTGCCGATACGGCGACTCTGACCACCCTCTGGCGGTGGTGGCCGGCTGTCTGTATTTAATGGGTGGGTTGTGGGTGTTTTTGTTAACTTTTAATATTTTATTATAGAGGTGTTTAGTAAATAAGCAAATATATGAGATATTTTAGTTAATTTTCAAATCTTAAATCGTAATAGCCATCCAATTTAACTTTTTTCAAAATAGTATTCTAAAAAGGATCAGAATAATGAACCAAACGGACCCATAATTTTTAATAGCTTAGTACCAATTTATTAATGGTATGGAGATTTCTATTATTTTTTAAATTTGAGGGGAATTTCCTAATTTTGTTATTATATGAAATAAGGAGCCATTAACCAAAAAAGAAAAATAAAAACAAATAAGGAATTTATTAAATTATAATAATATAATTTTTAATAGCTTATTAACAATTTGTTAATGGTAGGGAGATTTCTATTATTTCTGAAATTTGAGGGGAATTTCCGAATTTTGTTATTATATGAAATAAGGAGCGATTAACCAAAAAAGAAAAATCAGAACAAATAAGGAAGTAAAAAACTCGATCAAAGACGTACACGTGTCGAGCACCCAAAATCAAACTCGAGTTCCAACGTTCACCTCCTGGTTTCCCTCTCAAGTCTCAAAATCAAAAACAATTTGAATTCACAAAACCAAACAAGAAACGACGAACAGTTCAATAATAGTAACTCATTCAATTCTCTCTCACTCTATTTCAACTTTGATTTCTTTCCATTTCGTCTCCCATTATTCTTTTTTGTCAAAATTTTTTATTTTTTCATTTCACTTTCTTCTCTTTATGGAAGGCGACGACCATGACCATGGCTGCTTCAGTTTCGGCACTGTCTCAGCTCATTCCCCGTCTCTCGTCTCTCTCGCAGCATTTTCCGCCATTCCCTCTCCTTCCCCTCGCCGCCTCTCCAGTCATTTTACCAGGCCTAGCCGCCCGGTTTCGGAGGTTCGCAAGCTGGCTTGGGTGTCCTTAGAAGGACGGCTCGTGAACGCCGAAGAAGCCAGCTCGGCTAAAGCTATTAAGGGTGGATTGAGCCGAGAGGAAGCCGCGGCTTGGGAGATGTTTACACCCATTCACAGGTTCTTGATAGTTGCCGTGATCGGCGTCGCCGTCGCAGAGTCGAAGAAGAATCGGGTCATTTCGCAACTCAAAAAATCTGTTGAACTTAGGGTTTGTGTTTTTAACTTGTTTATTAAAAGGGTTTATTTTAGATTTTTTTCGGTTTAATTTATCTTTAATTAGCACTTTTATTTTGCTTTATGAAAAAGGTTTGCTTATAAAATATTTAATTATTTACTATTTTTATTTGTGTTTCATTTTTTTGAACAATTACAATGATTTTTTTTTTTTTAATTGTTATAGAATTTTATTAATTCAAGCTCTTTTGAATGATGTTGTGCAAATGGTTTTCAAGGATCAAGTGCTCTTGAGCATGCAGCAGAAGCTTGACAGTCTCTGTGAACGATTGTATTATGCTCAGGACCAGAAGGAAATAGAGGCCAATATGTCATTAAAAGGGAAAGAAGAGTCAGCATTTGGAGAAACTTTTGGGGATGATAAAATCAATTTTGTGGAGTGTGGTTGTTGGCTATGTGATCAACATCATCACCTCTTTAATGGGTTGATGGTAAAATTTCAGCTTTACTGCTCTAGTAAAGTTAATTTATTAACTCAGTTCGTGATCATCTGGGCTGAGAAACTTATATTCTCATTTTTTGGTCTTTTTAATTTGGTAACAGGGTAACTCTGCTGTGAAAGATTCAAGTGGGCATGAGAATGAGATGATGCAGTACAAAGTGACTCCTGTGAATGAGGTGGAACCAGAGGAGCGCCGCATGTCTGACTTGTCAGATTGGGCTTCAAGTATCACATCAAGTGCAGAAGTTCAGGTGATGGAACTTCAGAAACATTATCTGGTTTTTGGATTTTTCATAATATTTGATTTGATTAAGAGATTATCAGATGTTAATTATATTTGAACTTCTTTGACATAAGGATCTCCATAATCTGTTATTTAATTTTCTGAAATCAATCTTGAAAAGTCCTAATATGCAGTTATTTTTTTCTGCTTAACAAATCATAGACCATAATTACAACATAATAGTTTTAAGATTTTGATTGTCATGTACCTACTTTTAGTTAGATGGTCCTAGAATTGCATTCTGATGAGTGGTTGGAACTTGGGAGAGAGGTGTTTGATGGATTTTTTCAGTGCGATTTTTATTATCTATGCCTGCAATTGAGCAACTAACAGGTGAATTATACACATTGCATGGGAACAAACTTTGTATATTTGTGGCTTGATTGTCAAGCAATCATTGATAATGTAGTAGGACCTGGTAAAAGGAAAATAATGCTAAGTATGGCATCATCAGGTTTTTATATTATATTGTCTGGTGTGTATTTGTGCAGACCAACAACTTTACAATGGAACAAGATATCAGCAATCTAAGGATGGAGTGTGAAGAGAAGGATGCCACCATAAGGGAGCTAACTGCTTTTCTCCAGTCATCTAACACGAATGGTTCAAAGGTAATAATACATCTTTTATCTTTCCTTAACAATTTCACATGTATTGTCTCCTTTGATTAATCAAGCTTATTTCCTTCTCTTGATAACAGAGGATCTCAGAGCTGGAAGACATCATAAGGAGGAAGAACATGATAATTACAAGACTTAGGAAGGACATGGTGGTTTTAGAACAGAAGGTGAGAAAAAATAACACTAACAAATGCGGTCTGTTTAGTTTAGGAAATAAGTTGAATATATAAAACCTGGATTGGGAAGGCTCTGTTTTTTAATTGAAAAATGCTAGCCTTAGTCATTTCTCTTACTCACCTTTGTTAAAATGACATATGGTACCTGTACTATGTTTATGGTACCCGTACCATGCTATATTTACAAAAGTGAGTAAGAGAAGTGAGTAAGGGGAGTGAGTAAGGGTAGCATTACTCTTTTTAATTTATCATTAATATCTTTCTCGAAGCACTCTTGCAAGTCCCTTCACCTCATGCAGTAGCCTGATCAACTTTGTTTGTTATTTTGAATTCCAGGTAGTGCAGTTGACAAGGCTTCAGAGACCTTCCACTTCATCAGCCTCAAACAGTAGGCAATTTCCGGCCATGGCAGATAACCTCCTTTATGATATGGATAGTACTACAAGCCCTTCCTCTTCTGATTCTGATTCTCCCCCTGTGAATCGACCAGAAGTTCCTGTCCCTAAAGTTCTTGGCACACCAATTCTGAAGGGTGACTCTGCTTCGACAAGTAAACAGAAGTCAGCTCCACCAAAATTCTCTAGTTTATCGGTGAAGCCAACTGAATTGCATACAATTTCTCATCCAAGTAGTCCTTTGACAGAGGTGAAGCCAACCGAATTTCATACAATTTCTCATCCAAGTAGTCCTTTGACAGAAATATCAACAAATCAGAATTCCAACACACTTTCTTCTTCGAGGCAAAAGCAGCCGTCAGCAAGAGGAGATTTCAAGAAGACTAGAAGGCGGCCTCAAACTGCATCAAAGGATGCAGCTCCGCAGAAAAGATGGATTTAGTAAGTATTATGCAACTGTGATGTTTCAGTGCCTTCTGGTTCGATCACAACTTTCTAAATAGAGATTGTATCACCTGGTTTCAGTTAATATAGGAATCAAGTATCATAATTTTCTTTTAGATTAAAATTTTCCTAAAAAGGAATCCAGTGCAGCAACCAGGATCTAGAAATGGGGCCAATGAGAGGAATCTTATTTCTTAAAAACATCATCAATTCAAAATTTTATTTTCTATTGCAGGAAATACAGTTAAAGTTTTGTTATATTGGCCTCTGCTAAAGCTCTTGTCGCATTTGTTATTATTGGAGATTTGAATTCGTAAAACATAGTAATTGAAGCATACAGTTTTCAGATTCTTTATGATATTGCTAAGGATAATGCAAGCCACGATTTAGTTGGTCATGTTATTCTGTTTATGCTAATGTTGATGCAAGTTCTATCGAATATATGTGTGTACTGACATTATTTGTTTCTGTTCTTTTTTCTATTTCAAGGTATGCAGTAAAGATTTGTGATGCAAACTATTTTTGCAATTTGAAGAAGTGAGGCCTCCCGTCATAATGTGCTGAGGAGATAAATAGATAATAAAGGGTCGAAAGGCCTGGTACATATCAATAGGTGAAGAGCAGTTCCGCTATTATATTACATTGTTGTTGTATTCATTATTCTTGTTAGACTTAGAAGACTTTCAGAGCTGCAAGACTTCTCATTAGATAGATACAGAGACCTTCTTTTTCTGTTTATTATAAGTTAATTGAGATTATTTAACTTATATTTGTTATATGGGACAAGAACAAGAATAGTCTCTGTGTAATGAACATAATTCTTTAAATGAGTATGCAAATTTCACTTTCCTGTATTATTCGCAATATGAAACTTTTAATTGAAGCTTAAAAGCTAATGAGAGAAACCAAGCTTAGTCTAAATAGTGCAATGCAGAACAAATAAATATAACATAAAGTAATTGCATATATATATATAACCCATTAATAAATGTTGTTACAAATTTTTTTGAACTGATAATGTTTGTAACAAAAAGCTATTCAAATTGTTACTCTATTGTTATACTTTCTATCAATCTAATATCAGTTTGTCTTCTAAATCAGCATTGCAATCCTACTTTAGAGTCTAGTCTTCATCATAAAATGTGGCTTTAGGTGCACGGTACACTGCAGCTTCCGAGGACCAAGGCCTCCATCTGAATCCGAAAAATTATCACCGTCCTTCACTGCTCTCCTTGGCACATCAAATCCTGGAGGTCCACCCAAAAAGGGGATCAGAACCCAAAACCCATTGGCTTCGTTCGGACCAAAATTTGGGGATTTTGGAAAAAGTTTTTTGAAAAAAGTTAAAAAAAAGTTGAATTGGGCAGGTATTACGAGGTAGGATTTATAAACTATAAAATACCCCTTATGTTTGTTTTTTTACAAAATACTCCTATAATAAAACATTAAAAGTTAACAAAAACACCCTTAACCCACCCTCAAATACCCCCAGCCGGCCACCACCACCGGAGGTGGCCAGAGTCGTCTTATTTGCGCATGACTGGCTGGATCTTGCCAGTCATGCGCCGCGATGGCCTTTTCTGGCCAGATCCACAGTGGATCTGGTCGGCAAAGGCCAGATCTGGCCGTATTTGCTCTTAACGACGGCCAACAAATGGTCGTCGTTGATGGTTAACGACGACCGTTTGTTGGCTGTCATGACCGACTGTTACAGACGGCCAGATCTTTGGCCTTAGATCTGGCCTTTTCCGGCCAGATCCACCGTGGATTTGGCCGAAAAAGGCTAGATCGGAGCACTACCGGCCAGATTCAGCCGGTAGTGCGCCATCCTACCAGATTCCGGCCATTTTCCGACGGTGGTGGCTGGAATCTGGTAAATGTGGATTGTTGGAGTGTTTTTGTAATTTTTAAAAAAATATTTAAGGGTATTTGATTAAATTAACAAATTTAGAGGGTTTAAAAAAAATTGAATAATATTGAAAGTAGTATTCCAAAAAATGAGAGTTTTTGGATATTTTACTGTTTAACTTTTTTGGGAATACTAAGAATAGTATTCCCAATTTTGAACCAAACAAAGCCATTATTCCTGAACAAAGGATGCTACAAGGCTTGGCTAGCTGTTGGCCTTTTGCAAGGATCCCAAGAAGAAAGCCATAAAATTAAACGTATAGCATCCTTACTCACAGATGGTATAAACCTCGACAATTTAATGTTGGGGTTAGGATTAGGAATGTTTAGCGGAAGCGTCCGATTGTCTGGATTGAAAACTTCCTCCCCATAATGCCATTATAATCGTGATAGTGATGTTTTAATGTAAATAACACATGTATATGCTCAAATGTATCATAAATAAATATGCATAACATAAAATAACTATAAATTAAATAACAACAACTAAAAAAGGCGAATGTCGGGTGCTAACCCCCCAGGCCAAACGTCCTCTTCAAGCGTGAAGGCTAGTCGTGTCTAGTGTCTACTATTGCTGCTTTTGAAAGACCAAGCCAATATTAGCTCAATTCAAATTTAAAAGAATCTTATTTTAATTTGTTTTCTTATTTAATTTTACTAACTTCTTTTAATATTTTTAAATTTCTTAATTTAATTATTAGTAGAAACATTCTTATAGTTAGTTTTTCTTATGCAAATAAAGATTATTACTAGTTTGGTAGCCATTCAATTGTTTATTTTGTATTTACCACTAAACCCTTTTTTTTTTAGGCTACGTAATAGTTTTCCTTTTTATTATTTTCGCATTTATGCTTCATTAAGTGGTGTGAGAGCAAAGTCTAACCTTGTCAAGCGGATGTTGCTAACGATTGGGGTAACGCCCATCTTCTTGACAATGAGTAGAGACGTCAGGATAGCAACTATCCTCTTTACCACGAGGCATGAACATAGGATGGAGGCCAAAACAATAAAAGTTGTTAAAGACACCATTCAGGGTCTATTATTCATAGGCTGGATACACTAGATACTAATGGCAATAAAAATTTAGATTGAAAATGTAATGAATTTGTGTAAGAGTTTAGGTTTAATGTTTTATGAATGTTGGATTGATTCAACATTGATGATGTTTCGCATAGAAAAGTTAGGGTTTATCGCTTAATTCATATTCATAATTGTTTTATTGGAATAACATTGAATAACGTATTAAAACTAGAAATAATCGAATAAAATTCTATGATTAATTTGTGGTCCATCTAATTCATAACCGAATATGACGAATTAGTCATAAGGGATTGATGATTGACCGAATAGAGATCTGTATTAAGTTGAATATTATGTATGAATAAGGATAATTGGCTTTAGAAGAATCCTACCAATTCATAGAACAAATAAGTATTAAAAGTAATTGTCAAGTATAATTAGAAAAAAATCTATACCCTGACTTCATTAATACTGCAAAATTCTTTATATTATTTATTTGTTTAATTTTATTATTTTTAATCTATTAGTTTTATATTCTAAATTATTATTTTCTTAAATAACGTATAAATAATTTTAGATAATTATAAATATTTGTTTTAATCTCTTAGGACGATACTTATCATTTTATTACTTGAACAGATCTAATGCACTTGCAGGTCGATTTAGTCGCATCACATACATGGCCCAATACTGCCAATCCGTGAAACATACATTACATAACCGTCGGGCAAGTCTACCTCTATGAGAAGCTACGCGAGTGCAACTGTGCAAGTACACAAATAATACCTGTACAACACCATGCCCTTTAATTTTATAACTCTACCAAAAACAGTGTGCTTATTGTCCAGCCATGGAGTAGCTACAGTGGTGATAAAGAACTGAGAGCCATTTGTATTTGGCCCCGCATTTGCCATTGAAACCGTAAAAGGTCTGTCATGTCGTAAGCTGCAGATACATGGTAACCAGTAAGAAGTAGAGCATGTCAATAGTTGAGCTGTAAATTAGAAACAAGGGACAAAAAAAATTTCTTGTAACCTTTGCCTGTCGTGGAGGGAAAAAAAAAAGTTTGAAACAGGTTTCTTCAAGATATTGCGTAAAATCAGCGCAAACAATGTGATGCTTCATCATGCTAATATATAAAAAATTATTACCTTTTGTGAAACTCATCTTCAAATTCCCTTCCCCAGATAGATTGCCCACCGGTGCCATCTCCCAAAGGATCTCCACTCTCCAGTCTGAACCATGAAGCCTTTAATGGCTTCAAATTACCTTTTGTGAAAAATGAGATTGAGGTCTCTTTTTTTAATCGAAAAAACCGTGGACTCAGAAATCAGGATGGGAACAAATCTTACACGCGAAGAAATTTTGACATCATCTGCTGGGAAGAATTTTCCATACGGTGATGTCACTGGCTCACTAATAATTGGAAGGTGTTGTTGATTCTCAGATTAGCGCGTGAGAGCTCAATTTTCGTTTTTTGTCCACCTGTGCCCATCAAATCAAGAAGCTTCTAATGCTTTGACAGGACGACAACTTTAAGGTGCTATAACTTGCCAGCATAGCCGTTGAATCTTTCCATCCAACGGTCAAACTACACTTCTTCTTAGAAAATAAATTTCATATTCTCAATATAACATCTCTATAAAATCTTTCTATTTAGAACTAGAAACACATAGAGNCGAGGACCAAGGCCTCCATCTGAATCCGAAAAATTATCACCGTCCTTCACTGCTCTCCTTGGCACATCAAATCCTGGAGGTCCACCCAAAAAGGGGATCAGAACCCAAAACCCATTGGCTTCGTTCGGACCAAAATTTGGGGATTTTGGAAAAAGTTTTTTGAAAAAAGTTAAAAAAAAGTTGAATTGGGCAGGTATTACGAGGTAGGATTTATAAACTATAAAATACCCCTTATGTTTGTTTTTTTACAAAATACTCCTATAATAAAACATTAAAAGTTAACAAAAACACCCTTAACCCACCCTCAAATACCCCCAGCCGGCCACCACCACCGGAGGTGGCCAGAGTCGTCTTATTTGCGCATGACTGGCTGGATCTTGCCAGTCATGCGCCGCGATGGCCTTTTCTGGCCAGATCCACAGTGGATCTGGTCGGCAAAGGCCAGATCTGGCCGTATTTGCTCTTAACGACGGCCAACAAATGGTCGTCGTTGATGGTTAACGACGACCGTTTGTTGGCTGTCATGACCGACTGTTACAGACGGCCAGATCTTTGGCCTTAGATCTGGCCTTTTCCGGCCAGATCCACCGTGGATTTGGCCGAAAAAGGCTAGATCGGAGCACTACCGGCCAGATTCAGCCGGTAGTGCGCCATCCTACCAGATTCCGGCCATTTTCCGACGGTGGTGGCTGGAATCTGGTAAATGTGGATTGTTGGAGTGTTTTTGTAATTTTTAAAAAAATATTTAAGGGTATTTGATTAAATTAACAAATTTAGAGGGTTTAAAAAAAATTGAATAATATTGAAAGTAGTATTCCAAAAAATGAGAGTTTTTGGATATTTTACTGTTTAACTTTTTTGGGAATACTAAGAATAGTATTCCCAATTTTGAACCAAACAAAGCCATTATTCCTGAACAAAGGATGCTACAAGGCTTGGCTAGCTGTTGGCCTTTTGCAAGGATCCCAAGAAGAAAGCCATAAAATTAAACGTATAGCATCCTTACTCACAGATGGTATAAACCTCGACAATTTAATGTTGGGGTTAGGATTAGGAATGTTTAGCGGAAGCGTCCGATTGTCTGGATTGAAAACTTCCTCCCCATAATGCCATTATAATCGTGATAGTGATGTTTTAATGTAAATAACACATGTATATGCTCAAATGTATCATAAATAAATA